GGGCAGGTGTGTGGCAGGTGGGTCTGGGGTGGGACATGTCTCCCCAAGCCAAGGGGTCACCCACCAACCATGCACCAACCCCACCTAGCAGCCACCCTCTGATCAGAGAACAGTACCCCTGTTCTTGAGGTCCTGAGTGAGACACACCCAAATAATGCGGCAAACAACCTGCACCACCGTAGCGCACCACCCCACTCCATTCAAGGTCCCATCTCCAATATTAGCCATCCTGGATGCTGCAGAGGAAGGCGATTCAAGACAAAAACCTCCCCAAGAATACCTGGGCGAGAAGCTGTCCCTTCCTAACCTCTGCTAGGCCTGACGCATTGGCATTGGTCACAGAAGTCCTACACCACAAGGGGGTCCTGCCCCCGTCATCACTAGCGACCCCACCATCCAACTCTATCATACAGTCACGTGCATTTGCCTCCTTACAGCCACATTACCACGGTGGCTCCCAGTCACCCTGGCACCATGCCGCACAGCCCGATCTCCCTCCTCCCCGGCCGCGCCCAACTGTAAGACGTTCTTATTCCTAGACCCCGAGCACATGGCCTTGCACTTGGCACAGTTCAATTTCACCCTTTGGCCCTCAGTTCAAGGTCAAGTCAAAGCTTTCTGCAGAAGAGTCGGACGCTCCTCTGTAGGGAGGTTGCCTCCCCCGCTGTGTATCATTGGCACATTCCTACCTCTTGTTCCCAGGCCATGCATAAAATTATTGAACAAGGCTGGTCCTAAGCAGGCCTGCCAGTGGGGAGAAGGGCAAATGGGGCAGTTGCTGCAGGCTTGGAGATTCAAAAGGGCCCCGGGGTCCCGGCCCCTGGGTGCTCAGAGCCACGCCCACGTGCCACGCGGAACATTCCAGGCTGCCTTGGGCAGAGGGGGAGCAGAGTGAGGCATGCTGGGAGCAGCACTAAGAGCAGTGCTGAGGGCTGGTAGCCCCCATTCGTTCCACTCAAGGCCCCGCCCATTCCAGGATCTCAGAGCCCCACACACACACCTTGCCCCAGGGCCTGGCTATTCTGCCGCCCCCCTGGTCCCAAGACCAACCCTTCAGGAACTCCCCTTCTATCTTCCTCCAGTTTGAGAATTCATCTTTCGGCACAACCAGTGTCTTTCTCCCATTCAGTCAGTCCTTTCCCACTTTACAATGTCTCTTCTGAACCCCATCTTCTACTGCCAGGCCCCCCAGTCTGCCAATATTATTACGGCTGATCTAGAACAACATTTCCTCAGCTCCCTGTCCCTTAGCACCCTTCTTCTATTTACATGACATTGATGAAATCTTCATCATATGGACGCAAGGGAAGGAGACCCTTGAAGAATCCCACAGGAATTTCAACAATTTCCAACCCACTATCAACCTCTGCTTGGACCAGTCCACACAAGAAATCCATCTCCTGGACACTACAGTGCAATTAAATGATGGTCACACAAACACCACCTTATACGGGAAACCTACTGAAGTTGAGGGTATGTCTAAACTACACCCCTTTTGCAATAAAGCGATGTAAATTAGACGTATCGAAAGTGCAATTGAAGTGGAAATTTAAATATTCCATGCTTCATTTGCATAATGGCAGCTGCCACTTTTTTTTGAAATGGGGCTTTTTGAAAAAAAAACGGCAATTAAATGGGGCATTTTTGACAGAAATGCCCCATTTCGAAAGATCCTGTACCCCTTGGGATCTTTCAAAACGGGGCATTTCTGT